TTTGTGACCAGCTAAACTGTGTTGTCATATTCCTTTAACTTATTTGATGGAAGTATAAATTGTAGTAACTCTTTACCTGTTCAGCTATTTCTGCTAATACAAAATCACTCCAGAAACCTAATGACTACAAGGGAAAACAGAGAGAGAGCTTATCTGTTTGTAAAGAACACCGAGGACACATTTTGGAGTTAACAGCTTAACCTTTTATTTTATATTAAAGCAACATGTACACATCTTAAAACATGTTCAAGGAAATGTTAACTGATCAAATAACCATTTATAAAAATAGCAAACCTATATTTCGAGACTGGTGCGTTTAATGCTCACTAGTACTGACGGCTCTCTTTCATTGAGAGCTTAAGATAGCACAGGGTGAGTAATAGATCTAGAAATGCTCCGTTTTGCAGTAAAGTATTGCTATTATTTTCACAGATTTGGCTACTGATCAGAATACATTTGACTCTATAAAAGGTTAACAAGGTGAATCATTTGAAAGTGTATTTACAGATGCCTGTGTAAAGTGAACTACACTAAATGATGGTGAGGGATTAGAGAGTGTAGAGATGGCAGCATCACTCGTCCACTCTTATTTCTGAAAGAGAAGAGACAATGCTGAAAGTCTTCTACTAGTTGTCACATTGTCTTTAGGCATTTTGTTATTAACCAAAGTATTCCAGTTATCTCTATGAACAATGCTACTTTACCTTCGCCGCTGTCCCTTTGCGTAACATAGCGAAGAGTTTAATTATCTTGGGAGTCTGCGGTTTTTGTCCAAACAGAGTGCCTCCTTTAATCTTGTCCTCCTTAACCTTAGGACCTGGAGGGCCTTTGGCTTTGGTCAGGGCCCTTCACAAAACACACAGACACATCCTTAGTGGGCTGCATCTTACACTTTCATTTGCACAGGTATTGTAAGTTGGTGCTCATCAAACGTGTTGACTCAAACATCTTTGGTGGGAAAAACAAGTGCGTTTATGGCTAACTGTAAAGAAGACTCACCTGCCCTTCCTGGCCAACACTTTCTGAGACTCTGGGTAATGGACGAGGATATCAAACAGGTCTTTCTTCTCCAGGACGAAGAGGTTAGCGAAGCCATGCGCCTTCACGTTAGCTGTGCGCCTGTTCCCTCCATCTTTGGCAGACTGTAGTAAACTGAGGGACAGAGGCAGTAATAAACCATGTGTCCAAGGCCAAGTATTACACTGCATTACAAAAAGCAGACTCACCTGATTTCTCCAAACACACAGCCAGCCTTCAGGGTGACAAACACAATGCTGTTGTCCGGCCCCCCCACCACCTGCACCGCCCCCCCTTTGATGATGTACATCTCTTTACCGATGTCCCCCTGCAGGAGGGGATCAGACATTATGGATATTTGCTTCATTTTGATCACCAACGTTTATCCGTCACACACACAAATACTCACTTTCTTCACAACAAAGTCTCCGGGTAGATAGACGATAGACTTGAGCCTCAACAACATGTCCACCAACATCTGATGGTCGCAGCCCTGGAAGAGACAATATGAGGGGACAGGTGAGTGTTCACGGAGCAGTCCTGACCAAGCTGCTAACAGGACACGGTGATTGCTGACCTGAAACAGTGCGATCTTCTGGAAGGTGGCCATGTTGATGTCCACAGCGATGGCAGTTCTCATCACCATAGGCATCTGTTCCAGCAGCTCCGACTCATCTGCAGAGGACATGTGTAAAGAGTAACTCAGTACGAGTCAAATACATATTTTGTCATTTTAATAATTGTCTGGTTTTCAGTTTTTAAGTCTACATTTCTCGTATTAAAGACTCAAAAAATTACCCAGCATGCCCTGAGCTGCCCAGGTGTAGTTGTACCAGGTCCGGACTCTGTTCTGGACCTCCTTGGGGATGGTGTAGGTGTTCATGTAGTCAACGCAGCCGTCCATTGATGCCCGGAAATACGTCACGCCTGCTGTGGCTGCTCCTATCACGTCTCTCATCTGAGAGAAGACGGAGGGAATAAAGACTTGAGATAAAGGACAAAAGCTAATGTTAAGAAGTGAAATATGATCGCATTATGAATAAAGATCCTCGTCATACATACCTGTCCAATCAAACTGGAGAACACAAAGACACCAATGAAGAAGTTGGACATCTGAAAGGTAATCTCAAAGACGGTAACGGGCTCTGGAAGACCCCCGATGTTGATCAGACTGCGCACTGCGTAGTAGTAACAACGAATGTACCTGTGGAAGAACGGGTCCATCTTCATTTCAATAGAACGATAATGCACTATAATCAGCTATATCTGGTACTATGTGTTATCTTAAGAAGTACATACGCATTGCCCTCCCCATCATAAACCCATGTGGTGGACCCCAGACCCTGGTTTACTGAAGCAACGTAGTAAATGCAGGCGTTGAGATGGAGAGCGAAGAGCAGGTAACCTGTGGTGCGAATCACTCTGTAACAAAGAAAATAATGATTAGATGGAGCTGAACTGAGTAGAGAAAGATTATTTTACTCACAAATTGTCGAGATGAAGTATTGGGAACTTTAAACTAAATGAATAACGAGCATACGGTGCGTAATGGAATGAATACAAATAATGTGTCTTTGTTATGTGGATATCTGTTGTGCAAACAATTTAGTTACACACACAAGTAATTGAGGAGATAAATGTTTCAGAAACTTTCAACAGTCTTGTTTTTTGCTTGGAGATAACTTGAGTTTGCACACAGCGTCATAAGAGTTGGATAAATAAAGTAACTTGATTTACCTCCAGATGTAGGCCTTGGCCATGACACTCTCAAGTCGATCGCTGAACTCAAAGAAGGACTCGATCTACAACACACAAGGAAACAGACGACTGGTCATGAAAAATATGTAATATACAAGTTTTACTTAATTGATATGATGAGTAAAAGGTAATGCTGTCAAAATGATCGCGTTAACGGCGGTAATTAATTTTTTGAATTAATTGCGTTAAAATATTTAACGCATGCGCAGAATGGCCCGCCCCATACATCCCACCAGTGGCAGCGCCAGGGTATGGCTGGGGCTACAGCCATACCAACAAATGGCTTAGCCTCACCATGAAAAATTATGTTAAAGTAAGCAAAATAAAGTCCGCCAACTCGCGCCGAGTAAATTGCACAGACAGCAGTTAGTAAGATTAATTTGAGTAGCCACTTGTCTGGAAATACCGAAGACTTCTCAATAGAACATCTTTGATAATGTCTTCTAGCCAATCAGAATCAAGATAAGGGCGTGGTGTTGTTGCAGGAAGTCCCAACGGAGAATACTTTTGCTGTAGTACATCTCTATATACATCGATACAACATTACGTGTTGATAGAAATCAATACGTAATGAAATAAGACCCCACGGTTTGATGATTGATAGGTGTGTGGGCTGTCTTTCATTTTGACACACAGAACAATGTTATAATAAACATACATACATACTGTATGTTAAATGGATATATCCGCCTTCTTTCATTTATCTTTCCATTCCCACAACAATATACATAAAGAAATGGCATATTTTGGACATAGTTCGAATGGTGATACATTTTTAAGCTGTGATTAATCTGATTAAAAATCTAATCGTTTGACAGCCCTAGTAAAAAGGTGTCTGCTGCTTACCCGGACAAAGCGGTTGATTCGGTACACTGAGGAGAATCCAAACTGCAGGCCGAGGAGGTCAAACGGGAGGATGCTGAGGATATCCAACTAAATAGAGGAGGGAAAATATGAGGTTAAGTTTACAACAGATAATGTGCCTCTGAGGTTACAGTGAGTGGTAGATTGTGATGGATGTCATGATTTTCTCACATTCAAATGTACTTGCTTGGACATACAAAAGGATGGAAGAACTGTTAAGATCGCTCCTTTAAAATTCTACTCAAGTAAAATAAAGTATCATCAGCTAAATGTACTTACTAAGACTAGAGCACTTAGTTGGCATACAGGGAACTGCTTTAGGCTGGTTTAGGTCCTATCTATCTGAACGCTCTCAGTTTGTACGTGTCAACGATG